TATATATATTAGACTTATATAAATGAATTGTATCTTTCGAATTTATTATGAAAAAAAATTTGATGTCCCTACGGACTCTTTTCCAGACGTTGAATGACCCTAAGGCAAAGACGATAGCCGCCTTGTCGGTGTTGATGTTGATAGGGTACAGCTCTCTGCTGGTACACGCATGGAATACTAATAACCAAGGTAATCACACCCACGACCTCCTGTTGTTCTTTGCTACCTGTATATCCGGCTCTACCTATCTATCCCGTGATCCTACGCGATGATCTTATTTTATACCTGCCACAAAGCTTTACCATATCTATATAACGATTACAAATCACCGACATTATGTTTCACACTTACAGCCATGGTGGGCTTTTTGCTGCTGGATTTTTTCAATGCGTCTTGTTTGATGAGCGAAATAATCGTTATCTGGGTTGGAAATCAAGTAGCGACATTTTCCTACTCTTTTGGGTATGAGATATTGGGTCTGTGATGAAGAGTTTATTGTCAATGTGCAGTGAGCAGCAAAAGATGCATGCAGATTTTGTGTTGAATTGTTAACGTACACCCTTCACTGAAGTCTTCGTAATACCCTGAATACATTACGGTACTCTCAACCATTTGTGGCAAGGAGTCTACAACACTTCATTGTGCTCATAGATTTACTGGTACCCTTCGCCGCATAGTACGATGTAAACATTGACATAAAATTGCTCGCAGTATGCAAGTGATGTGCGAAAAACGTGTTTCTTCTGTCGGAGTTTGTTCTTGGAAGCTTTTGCGTACACATCGGCTCAATAATTTGCTTTCGATAGTGTATATTTAGAATCTAAGCAATCGATACTCGTATTCCCTTCTGATGTATTTGCGATAGTTTCAACCAGGTTAACATCGTCGCCTGCTTCTCTATATGCGTGTTGATGCTGCTGATGGTATTCTGGAACTGTGTAGAATGCATGGAGCATCTTCTGTTGCCTGAGCATCACGGAGCTACACAGTAAGTTAGAATAAAATGGGTATACGAACAGTGTGTCTTTCTTAATTGTTTCGGCTCGGATTGTGCTTGTTCCGGTGCGAAATCACTACACAGTGCAATATTCTTAGCCTGTGCGAAAGATACTGTATGAACGGGTGGTACTTTCTTTATATATTTGCGCAACCCAGCAGCTTCTTCCCTTTGCCAAAAGTTTCTAACGCTACCAATTGCTTACTCTGACAGCGAGCCTTCACTAGTCGTATTAGTTTGTGCTTTCGTTGGTCGCTTCGGGGGACTAGCGATCGTTAAGAAGTACTCTACAGGTCACGATTCGACACCAGGTAATCAGAGAAGCTCGTGTGCCATGATGCTGATGCATGAAAATTGAGGTGCAGGTTTCATTTGTATGTGATAGCAGTGTTGGTGAAGTTACTGGAATGGCAACGAAGTATATTCGGAAAATTGGACAATATTGTAGGCTCTTTTCTCATGTTTTTTCATGCTCTCTAGCTTCGATACTGTTGCTATCCGCACTGTACGGTACGATACGAACATATGAGTTACCCATTAACAAATACGAGCTTTTCTTTCCGCAATTAGTAAGATGTTAGACCTGATGTAGGCCCGAGAAGGGCCACACAAATCTGCATCTCATCTTAAAACTTCATTTTTTTCCCGGTACTTCTTCTACCAGAAACCACTGGGGGCAAACTCAAACACGGCCTAGCCGCCATGATACACGCCACACTCGGCAGCGGCAGAGTGCACCGCGCCGTCCTTCTCTCGCGGTCAGTGAACAGCAATGCACTGATATCCCTCGTGTCATGGGCTATAGTATTACTCTCGTCAATGCTCGCACCCGAAGCTGACTACAGCTGGGTCGATCCCATCACATCGGCCACGGTGTCGGTTCTTAGCCTGGGTTCTGTGCTACCCATCATGATGAACCATGCACGCGTGCTGCTGCAAACAGTACCCGCGAATTCATCCTTGTGGTTCAAATGCTTACGCGAGGTATGTTCGGATTGTCCGCTATGGAACTTGACCTTCATGAGCAATCTGAATCAGATCTGTTTCAAGTGTACTGAGTAGCTGCTTACGGCGGTACCATCTCGGACGGTGTTGGCCAAGACTGCTAGAAAAGCTAAAACTCAATAATCATATCCCCACGATACTTTTGTAGAAGACAACTTGAGCTATTACCATCGTCATGCATATCTTATTCGGTAGTGGTTTATGCGTCCAGGCCTCTATGTGGTATGTGGTGTGAAGTTGAGTATTTCTGTAGACCTATCCACACTTCTGCGCCCAACCTGTTCTGATCGTAAATATCTCCACCTCCAACTATTAGGTATCCAACTACGATGGCGTACTCGAGATAAAGAATCAGCACTTATGGCTCAATGGCTACAAGGAGAGGGTGGCTTCGCTCCACGTCAGGATTAGAAGGGACGCCAACGAACAGGTGAATAGGGACAATTGATATCCAACAGTCTCGCTGATTGTCTTGCTGTCGAAATTGCAAATTTTAAGTTGTTACCGATCATATCTATTCGGGCTGTAAGGTTTCTGGCGAGGACGACCGTTCCTTGGGGCTGTGCGCATCGTATGTGCAGTAGTGTGGGATATACACCTGGCAAGCACGCCGGTATAAGTGTATGATTGCAGCTGAATGCCACACACAAAACAATAGTTGCATTGTTTCGCAACAAAGTATTATACCAGTGTCTGACTTCTTACTGTTTCTTTCTATCAAATTTCAGGTTGTACTCGCTCAGCTAAGCACCGCTTTCGCGCATCTGTGTGACAGCATCACCATCCAGATCAAGAAGGACGACTGGGGAACCGGGGGCAGTGGTTACGCAAGCACAGCCGGAGCCAATAGCAACTTTGGTTACGGTTATAACACAGCCGGGGCGTCACATCAACCCACCGACCTCAACGAGAAGGCACGGCAGCGGTTGTCGAGCTACTCGTCCAACAACTTAGCACGCACGAATCAACTGATGTCTCCTGTGCCACTACAGTACAGCTCACCACAGCAAGCTCAGTTGAGCGGAGGGGTGCCAGAGGCGCATGGTGGTATTCAGTTCATGGCACCCAGTCAGGATAGGGGCATGAATAGGGGGGGCGGTGCGAACGGCATGTAAATGATTGGTCAAAACAATGTGCTTCTAAGACACTCCTGTGGAGGATGAAGTGCAGTGTGAGATACTTCAGTATTGAGTACGATTAGCAGCCATTGAGTCCGGCAATTGTACAGAAAAAAAAATAGAAAAATGTAGCAATACCACCGTCGACGACAACCTATATGAAATATATTACTTCGGACCAATTAGTATAATAGTACATGTGTACTCGTACGCAAACAAAGGGATGGAATACATACATTTACAACTACAATTTTATTCGACTTATATATTTACCTGTTCTTAATCTTTTAGATTTATTTGTACGATAGCGATACACCCCGTCTACGCACGATTAATTATGTATGACTTTATGACTCTGGCATAGAATCTGCAAGTCCGCAACTTATAACGAATTGCTAGGTCGTATCTGATATGTCTCGCTCGCAGCCTGCCGGCAGTGTAGATTAGTTTCATCACCTTCGAATTATTTATGGAATCGAGGCAATCTGTTGTGAGTTTGCGTCACAGATAAACCAATATGGCACACTCATCCCCATTCAATTCGGGTTATTGTGTCGAGCCTTTAAAGACATAAAGCAGATCTTATGTCTTACAATATGCATACGAAGCTGGCCTGTCGGGGCAAATGCATATCACACGCGCTTTATACCACCATGGATATATATCGACCACAGTTGCCCTACCGATTACCCTAATAAAGTAGCAGTACTTTTAAATTATTATCATCTCGCCGATCTAATAGGAACTATCACCGCAGCACCCGCAATCATACAAGTCGACCCGATTATCAGAATTGCTATGTACCCGCCAATGTCGTACATAGGCACTCCGTGCTCGTCCACACGGCCATTGTCTCCAAAGAACAGAAGTGCAGGACCAATGAGCATCGGACCCAGTAGCGTTCCGATGAACGCACCCACACCCCACACACCCAGATATCGCGCCGCACTCTCCTTTGAGGGGAGAGTGTCACAGGCGAGGGCATAGTCTACCGAGAGATAGGTTCCGTTTCCAATACCTGAAGTATGAAATATATAAATCAGCAAGCATATGTAATGAAATGTGAGGGCGAGGGACCCAAAGATGGTTTGCAAAATTATAAACAGTGGTGATCCCGGAGGACAATATACCAGCTGCAACATACACACAGTCACAGAATACAGTCCGAATTCAATTTTGTTCATAGAATTAGTTCTCAGTCCATTTCTTCGCACATCTATCTTACTAACAACTTGCCAAAACAAACGCAACAGGGCTTCTTTCAACCTAACATACCGTATACAGCAGCGACGATAAGGATCGACATAAGATCTCGGGTGAACATGAAGCCGATGTACGCTAGAACGATGATGAATGAGCTGAGGTATATGAGACTCTTTCTGCCAACTCTGTCTGAAAGCATGCCCATAGGCACACAGACAATCGCACCCGTCAACTGGCCACACAGTGCGAGGTACGACACATCCGCCTGAGGATCCTTGGACGCAATGATGTCGCGGAAGTAGAACAACATGAACGTTTGCACCGAGATGCCCATGTAGTACAAGGTGCGGGATACGAACACGAGGTAGAAGTCTCTGTGGTCTGTAGGAGAAACAAAGTAACATTCACCGATCTCAGCCCAAGCCCACTCTGTAGTGGCTGTCAGGGGCGTCTCTACGTATGAGACAAGGGACGCTACTACGGCTACGCTGACCACCACTATGTAGAAAATGTATCCCGACTGCACATCCAGGAAGTAGGAAAAACAGCCGAAGCCAAAACTGGCACCCATGACGGTGAACGCGCCCATCAGTCCATTGGCAACACCACGTTGGGAATCATTGACTAGATCTGTGAGAGCTCCAGAATACGCCACATACATAACGTTCAAAGCCAACATGGCCGTCATGAAGAAGAATACGTACATGTATAGATTTAACTCCATGCTAGCCCATCTGAGCATAAACAGGGAGGGAATACCTACTAAACCGCCGTATAACATGAACGGCCGCCTTCTACCTAGTGAATGCGTACATCTATCACTAAAGAATCCTGCCACTGGTCCAGATAATTGAGAAATACCGCAAACACCCAAGAATACAGCTAACATGATCGCATGTTTCTTGGGATACATACGCTGGGACTCTGTGGGTAGCGTAACAAGCCCGAAAGTAGAGATCAATAATCCGTATGCAAAAGCGAACGAGTTCAGTCCAAACAAGTGGAGGAGTGATCTATCTGGCATGCGATTTCGCGGCACACCGCTTGTGAGTTTGTGTGGATCTTCTGTCGCCTGTAAGTCAGAGTGTTCGAACGCAAGAGCCGTCTCCTCGTCCCCAGGTAGTCGATTATAAGCTGTACTTGACATTCTACTATATTCTCAGTACCAAGACAGTGGCACATATTTTGTGAGCTAGCGAGGATATTGGAAATGTATTTATTATAAACACAATAGCTGCAAAAATGCTGGTATTGTAACTAGTATAATTGAAGTAAGAAATTGCACCAAAAAAGAAATCTGTCCCCAGCGATAGGCAGCCAGCCGCACTGTATGTACTATGTAGTATGTATGTAGGCATATCTAATATGTAAACACCCTGATTCCTGACCCTAATAGCCAAAAGGCATCCGGGGCCTGGGGCCCTGGGCCTTAGTCCTTAGACCTTGGCCTTAGGACTTAGGCCTTGCCCTATCAAATGTCATCTATGAGGTTATATGGATATATCCTCAGTTCCTCACTCCTCTGGAGTCTCAAGTCTGGGGCCAAGGCTCTACATAAAACCCTTCCAGGTCAGTACTGAGTACATACTCTGTAATATTCTAGTCGTGACGTAGTCGACTCTGGATGATAGATTAGCGATGACACTCGAAGTCGCGAGGGTATAATTATTTTTCTATAGATTATGAAGATTTTTAAAGTATACTGTATCTATGAGTTGTGAGTAAAGTTCATGGAGTATATCAAAAATCCTATTGGAGAAGCGTATTGGGCTCTCTCGAGTCTCTCTAGATTCTCTGCTCTCAGTGCTCTGAGAGAGCGTGAGACTGTGAGTCTGTGTACATCCGCGAGAGTGAGAGACGGTGCGAGTCTATGCGAGACTGAGACTGGCCCTGAGTGATTGTGGCGGTATGGCCTCACGGCTCACTGGTCTGTGAGTACATACTGACTTGGTGAGCGGTCACAGGCTCACTGGGCTGTACTCTTGTTGAGTGTTGACACTTGACTGTGGTGATGTAGTCTAATAACGCTAGCGACTCGTGAGTTGGGTCTAAACAATAAAATATGCCGTTGTCAGCGATGACGTGAATACCCCGTTATCGCTTAATCAGCCAACCTCGTCACTAGTCTGCGATTCACTACATACAGTATTTAGTATTAATACAGCCTGCGAGACTACGCCAATTTGCAAGCCAGCGTTCACGCAATGGTACTCATTTTTACCACATAAGCCCATCAGATAAAATTAACAGAGCAATGCCAGCACGGTTAACATCCGCCGTCCGATTGACCGAACTACAAACACAGCACAGACTATACCTAGTATTTATGAGAGTCAAACTACACAATTAGGCCACATCAATTAGGTCACACATGTATATGAAATTCTAGGTGATATAGCCACTATCTGCAGTTCTCGGGACTTCGACCAAGGTTTTAAATATAAATTTCGGGTGTTCTTTTTTTAGGAGGCTATGTTTCGAGCGAGGTCCATTAAAGGGGAGCATCCTTGTTGATGTTATATATATATATTGCAACATAAATAATGAATATTCTGCATCACTTGTCGCGACGATGCGGGTATTTCTTGTCTATATTGGAGACGATAAAAATTACCACATTATAGTTCCTTGACCATATTTCAATTTCAGAGAGCCATCTCATCAGAGTATAAACTAGCGTAAAAAATACCTGTTTAGAACTAACGACTCCAGATAACACAGAGAAACAACCCATAGCCACTCCTATTTTGATTTACAATACCATCACATTGATATATATATGGCTGTTTCAGATGTTTGGCGTTCAGGAGGCATCTTGTACTAGTATTTATATGCAAGTACTATTGTATACCTCAGGAGGTAATTTGAACCAAATTGCTCAAGCAAAAACAATTGTGGGACTGTGCACATGATATAGCCGGCCGCAGCTAAGCTTTTTGAAAAATCAGTTGATAGCAATAATAGGAACGGTTTATACATTTTAATCACCAAACGAAAGGTCAATGTGCATCGTTCTGCAGTACGATTCTAAAAGTTGGAGACGAACTTGCTTGCCTGGCATCGCGAGAGGATCGGTTTTCTCTTCAGCACAATCTGGCTCATGAGATTTTTCATCCAGCGAAATATCACAATTCTGACTGTTTGGTAATTGTTGCTGTAGAGCGTGGTGCGCCTCCACCAGTTCAAGCGCATCTTCAACACTGCCGAGTATGAGACAGAGAGGTTACAAATCATAAGCTATAAGTTTCGATGTTTTTGTACCCAGGACTACGTTCAATGTACAGAGGTATATAGGTGGGCTTCAAAGATATAGTTGTCAAGCTTGATCACAATGGTGTGTACATGTTAAATATCGACAACAAATTTTATCGAGTCAGTGTTTACCTTTGGCTTTCGAGTAGATAGATCAGTAAGCCTCGTATGTTGCCGATATGGACAACATGTTCGGCCAAGACACCCAGAATACCTGTTTCTTGTGCCTTGGTAAACAGCTCATTATCCGCCACATAAGCGAGGAGCTCTTTCTGTACCTGCGCCTGTATTTATGATTATAGACATTGGTAGAAGTGAGATTTTGACAGCCGTAGACTGAATTTATTCATCATTCGCCGAGCTGTGTGGCACAGCTTTACTGCTTGACGGTACTTTCAGACGAATTGTCACTCGATGAATATCATCAGTTGAGAAGACGTACCTGCGAGACATTTACCTCGACACCCTCCTCTAAGTGCGCAACGATTTGGCAGCAGTGATTGGAAGCCTTAATGAGCTGTTCGTGAATGTTTAAGTGTCATATTTTTTAGCAGGTGAGTGATTCTCGCATATCGGATTGGCTTCACACGTGAATATCAGGGTTACCATGAGCAACCATGTGCAGCACGATATTTCAGGTGCCAATGATCGGAAGCAACAATCCGAAATTAAAAATCGGGGATAAGATCGATCGATTAGGATCATGGATCCAGCAAGAACAATGATGATACCGTTTGCTTTGGACTATATACCCAAACATTTGCACCCAGACCCTGAAATAAGCTTGCACAGAGATTACTTACCTCTACCAACTGAGTCTTCCATTGAGACGCAGCACCCCACACGACCAGTTGAGCACACAGGGAGGTGAACACAGTCACGTCTGCCGGTGCAGCCGATTCACTGTGCTGTAACAGGCTAGAATAGGGAAGAAGTGGCATAAAAAATATGGCCTTGAAAAATTGATAAGCAATTGGATAGGGACTAATATTCAAGACCAACTTTTCATAGTACAGGGAGCTTGGTATGTAAAAATGAGACACGCAACCAGTACAGATATACACACCAGGTCAAGATGTGCGGAATATTCAGGTCATATATCGGGTTGTGCTGCACCAACAAAGACACAAGTCCCGTGGCGGCAGGGGCTGTACAATCTGATCGGTGGGGATGTAAGTATCTTAGTCAACTCAGTGTGTGGCTGGTTTAAAGGCTTGGAATAATTCAGTCGATGAGAAAATATAGCAAGCGGATAAGACATATGTGTTGAGAGAAGGAAGTATCGCAGGCAACTCAGTGTGCGCGTGGGTTGGGGGCTCTGAATAAACTTAGCGTAGGTTTAGGGGCTTGGGATATCTCAGTGTACGGGTACCTTATTCAAGGAACGAGAAATTACGTAGCAAGATGGTGGACATATGCAGGGCCGGTGATAATGGGTTGGTGGGGTCATAGACTGCCTGTCAGAACTCAAAATTTACAAGAAAGATACACGAAATTTGGGCAGCAGATTCAGTCATACCGAGATGATTTGTCTTCCCCGACCAGTTGAACACTCACATGCTGAAAGGAAAATCAGAACGTTCGTACATACATACATGTACAAACAAATGCCTCATGTCAAAGAACCAGTTCACCCCAACAGATCGATCCTATATACCTACGGCACACAACGGGTCCACCACTGCGCTTTGCCACAGGCGGGTGATATCCACAAAGTTTGGTACACTCGACGGTACATCATTGGGCCGCGCTTGTAGTCGCCGCACACGTGTGGGCCACATAAGAGTGTACTCGGTGGCAAGTAGGCAGCGCAGATACTCGAACTGCACCCGTGGTACGAATGGACAAACAAACGACTGAGTTAGAAAGATGCAAACACAGTCCGCTCGAAGGCAACATATTGGCGCGTGCTATACTTATGTCTTTGCTTTGTCCATTGTGCAAGTCTATTGTACGTATCAAACCTATGCGGATGAGAGCAAGTTCGGTTACCAAGCCCAACACCTGCGCAGAAGGTAGCGGTACAAGCTGTACATACAATGCCAGCGGAGGTCAAAGCTGTGTGTTTTGCATGGTCACGACGGGGCTGCCCTTTACGAAAGTCCCACATAATGTTTTTAAAACGCATCAGCTGCCACATGTAATGGCCAATATATGTACAAATGCGCGATAGTTTCGCCGGTAGAATTAGTGCAGGTCTTGTTGGGCAGCTTGGTCACAGTAAAATTCACCCACACGCGTTTGCGATTACCTTCCTAAGCTGAAGCAGTTGTTCCAGTACCGGTTCCCATGTATCCGATTGGGTGAGATCGAAAATGATACAGATATCAGCCGCCAGTTGTATCTCCTGACCATCACATGCGGTGCCTGGTTGCTGCGTAGGCGAAGGTGAGAGAAGTGAAAGGGTACATCAGAATACAGCCAAGAAGCTTTATATTGATATATCAATATTGGCGCTTGGTTGCAGCGTAGGTGAGGGTTATGTCAGAATACAGCCAATAAGCTTCATATCAATATACCAATATAAGCGCTTAATTACTGCGTAGGCGAGGGTGCGAGAAGTATGAAGGCATATCAGTATACAGGTAAAACACTATATCAATGTAGGCTATTGGTTGCTAGTAGCTGAGGGTGAGAAAAGAAAGAGTGGACACCGTACCAGTCTAGGCGTTTAGTTGCGGTTTGAGCGAAGGTAAAAAAAAAGAAAGAGGCCATATCAGTGCACAGCTAATACGCTCTATATCAATCTAAGCGTCGGGTTGCTAAATAACAGAAGGTGAGAGAAGAAAGAGTACATGTCAGCGTACAGCTAACACACTATATAATTCTAGTTAGGATTTTGTACCAAGAAGATCAGTATAAGCATTATGGTGTCGATAGAGCACATTCTGTCGACAGATGCGACCAAGGTGTATGAAAAGAGGCCTTTGTTCTATATCAAGGGTAAGCTCTCACATTAGCTCAACAAATCGGGCCTCAGTAAGCCAGCATGGGGGGTCCTAAAGAATATAAGGAGATATACTACCCTATATACCAGCCTCAAGCCAACAACCAATATAGAGAATATGTAGGCTCAGGTTGTTATGAATACGGATACACTGTCCGTCGTACGGTACATACAGTTATATGCCACATAAGCACACTTACCTTCTCCAGAGAGTCCGCAGGCTTGCACAATAATCCTCGGACAAGGCGTATCACACTTGCACGGTCACTCAAATCCTACCAGAATGAATGAATGAGTTATAGAGTAGTGGCAAGAAAATGTGTTAGTGTATTCAGGTGCATACGTGAATTGTACCAGAATGGTACTGGAGAGTGGAGACAAGGATATGGGCTAGTGTATTTGGATGGATACATGGAACCTACGAGAATGGTATTGGAGAGTAGAGGCAAGGGCAGATGTTTGTGTGTCCGGGTGGACACATAAATCCTACCAGCATGTATGTGATTGGAGAGCGCAGGCAAATTTAGGTGATGGTGTATTCGGGTATATATATATGAATCCTACCAGAATAGAATTGGGTTAGTGTCTTCGGGTGGATCCATGACTTCTACTAGTATAAGCAAAAGAAGATCAAAGAGTCGTACCAACTGTATGGCAGTGATTTGAAGTCCATGTGCGACGATTGTGCGCTGTGGTCTTTAGCAAATATTGCACAGTAGCGAGACACGGGCTGTATGTGTGTGATTTGCGAAGTCTGCGGCTAGGGACATACGCACTTTCTGTCATACTGGTTGAATCTGGGTTATTATTGGTCAAATAAAAGACTTGTAGCAAAACACAACACGCAAAGGTCAGAAACAATTTGTGACCACCTGCCTTACCCGTTCGCTGTGCTGGACATCCAAGTCTGCCAGGCGACTCAGTACAAGCAGTTTGGCCGTGAACTCGTGGACTTCATTGCAGGTCATGTCCAGGCGCATCTTCAGCTCTTGTAGCGGTACTAGGCCCAGCAACACACGCCAGGCGATATATCTGTAGTGTGTGTGGGGAAAACAATGGGCGAACTTAAGATGAGGGGAGGTGTGTTATACTATGGAACTAGTATTAATTGCACAGCGCCTACCAACGAGTCAGCCTTCTATTGCGGTACTAAGGCCAGTAGCACACGCCAGGCCATATCTCTGTATTGTACATATATGTGTGGTGTTCATAGACTAAGAGCATATATTGTACCATGGCATAAGCAGGTTGCAAAGCACTGCTAAACATAAACTGATGCGATTTTAGGGGTCGCGTGCCGTGTAGTAGTCTTTTCGAACGAGTTTTAGCTAAAAAAAGTAACGGAACTATCAAGTAAGCTCTGTGGCCGTTCCAAGATAATGCCGAGAAGAAAACAAAAACACCCCTCATTGACACAGAAGAAACTCTGTTACAAAATCCGGCAGAACGCTGTAGTACATAATTCAGATGTAATTTTGTAATATGATCTTCGCATTTGACTATACAACATAAAATAATATATCCAGGACTATGGCATCTCACTCTAGAGATTACATGTACATACACAAATGCAAGCAGCAGACAATGTTGTAATATGATCTTCGCATTTGACTATACAACATAAAATATTATATCCGGGACTATGGCACCTCACCCTAGGGATTATATGTACATACACAAATGCAAGCAGCAGACAGCCACACAGAAGGGTCACGTGACCCCTATTTAGACCCGGAGGAATCGTTAACGTTTTCATCCGGCGTTGCAAACACGCGATTCTCCTGGCACACATACATATAAGCGTATTTATATATCATAGCTATAGTCGACTGTACATACAAACGTAAAGATAGCAGACAGCCACACTAAAAGAGTCAAAAGGCCCCAATTCATACCTAGATGTGTCATTGACGTCTTCATCCGGCGTTGCAAACACGAGTTCAGACAGGAGGTCTGCATTGGTAGCAGATTCGAGTTCCTCCTGGCACAGATACAACACGCGCGCAACAGCAAGTGATATGCGAGCCTCAAGAGAAGTGGCAAGCGTCTCGGTGACTTTACCCGTGTGACTGATACTAGCAGCCTCGGAAATAGTCAAGGCTTGACCTGAGTTGTTCATGGGTTTGTCGGCAGGGGAATCTCGTTTAGGGATGTTTATGTAATCCGAATAATCAGTTATACATACAAACACATTCTCTCTGATATAAAGATAGAGACACACAGACACAGAAATGCAAATTTCCCATCACACACATTAATATAAAGTATTGTATATGTTACATAAGCACTCCTACACAGAGTGCGACAGACCCATACACCCACCCACACCCACAGCCACATATTTATATAAATTATGCAGAGTAGTACTTCAGTACACACAGGCACCATGCAGCACAAACATCCCTATATTCATACTACACAAAAACCCTAGGATAAATATCCCACGAGGAACGTACCGTTAGTTAAAAGCCCATCTACTGCCGATGTTGGCTCAGGCCCCCCGTACTGTATGTGGTCATACTTTGGTACCGCATCAGGGTGCTTGATCCACAGTCTAATTAGGCCAGAGCGCACACTTGTCGCATTGAAGTCATAACGCACGGCTATCTCGTTAACTGGACGAAAATGCAGTGCACGTATCAAACTACGGTTAGGACATGTTCAATGCATACGTGCATAAACACGTGTATGATGTACGACTGTGCATGCGGGGTTGATTGGTTAAATAGGACAGAAGTTAAGGACGTATCACTGTAGTGGACGTGTTGGGAGTACCACATTGAATCAACGCCGGCATTGTACAGGAATACTTGAGCAAGGGTGGGTGACAAAGTTAGAAACGAGGTGCGGTGGTTTCATAGCAGTTGTCACTTCAATAAAGAGTATGCAGCACAAAAAGCCGCTCCAAACAAGGTGATGCATAGAAAACAAACATAGGGCTACACGCAGATCAACACCAACCGTCAGACGATAACTATGTGTCCTGTATAACTGATATGACATACCGTAAGGCGATACAGCAAATGAAAATTCGATACAAATAGATTGAACAAGGAGGTTAAACTCTCGATACCGTTTTAGGACCATCGCGCATTCTTGTATCCCGCACAGGCCAGTTGTTGGTACGACTGACCAAGGTTATATAGTAGTGCAGCCTGGTATAGAGTCCCAACACTTATCAGACATTGCATCGACCCAGACACAAATCACAACGTGGGGGTGATACCGGCCTCGTTTGACACTGATTTAAGTACTCGCGTACTGGCCAAAACAATACCAAAAACAAATGATTTCAGAATACCACAGCCATTTTCATGGAGAAAGGATGTGTGGAAATATACCTGTTACATGTAGTTGCGCGGACTCCAGCTCTAACATTGTGACTGAATGTCTGCAGTACAAACTGCAGATCAGGCTCCTCAGATCGAGGGCGTTGGCCGTGAGGGTATGCAAGCCTGAGGAGAGTCGTACAAATACACACGACGCAACGTGGGAGTACGTAGGTTGCGTAGATTTCGGTAAGTACTACCATAGTTACAAGAGAAAGTTTCCTTACCGCCCTCCTTAAAATTGAAATCACCGAAGCATTGAATGCTGACAAAAACAAGGTGTAACCGATTTCTAGACACACCCACACCCACACCCCATATATATATATATATATATATATATATATATAATATTACTATATATACTATATATAATATGTAATATACATATACATATATATATCAGATATACACATACATACATTAATAATAGAAATAAAAATCATAGCTTGAGATGTTGTAGATTACACAGACATGTATGGTTGCGATGAAACCGAGTGCGCCGGGGGGTTTCTTTGCATGCTCAACAGGCCATTGTACACACTTTCGGAGCATCTATGAAGCACAGGTACACCTGGACTGCACACAACTAGCACACAAATCATATCGAAAATCATCACACGTACGGATGCGATGGAACCGTCTGTGACGCTGTTCGGTTGTCTTGATTTTCTTTGCATGCTTAATACGGCCATTTTGCACGGCGTCCACCAAACGTGCCAGCGACTACTAAGGTGTCAATTTTGCTTGGCAACATCGTGTATAGCAATACAAATAGTAGACGTGTGCTAGCATGCATAGCTCAAATGATGCCCGACCAATTGCGACAGTGCTGGTATTGTCGCAAATCATATCTCACCATGCTGAAGGTACTCACCAGGATGGCACATGTGACAATCCACCAATTGCGACAGAGTCTGTTGGTGCCGCAATTGTTCGACCAGCTCTTGTTTTAGCGCGCGCATGGTGGCTTCGTAGAGGCCTTCACCTGCCGAGACCCCATTGTGATAGGCTATTCTCCGAGATGGCGTGCTAGGGTAAGTTTGGTGAAATCAGGTGAGAACGGGGAGGGACAGAGAGGCGCAGACACGGATTGTACTGAGATGTTATGTGAGTGTGGTTTGTTGTGTACAAAACTGAGAGGAGACATATACAGACACACACTGTCACAAACAAACACACACGCACACTATCACAAACACACACACACACACACACACACACACACATATATGTACATACGTGTGAATACAAATGCACATATATACCCACATGCACAAATTCTTATACACACACACACACACACACACACACATATACATATACATACGTATAAATACAAATGCACATATGAACCCACATGCACAAATTCTGATATGCATATACTCACATTCACACACAGACACAGATATAGACACAGACACAGACACAGGCACGGACACAGACACAGACATATATATATACTGATATACACATACCCATCCAGCCACTTCTCGGCAGCTTTGATAGCTTCAAAGAGCATCCTCTCTCTGTCCCGTCCGATAGGAAAGCGCTCAGCCGCCTGCTGCAGCACAAACACTCGCGTCTCAACATCAGGCAACGACATCACAAGGGCGGACATGGTGTCGTACGTCATTCCATATATTCTTGCTATCCGTCTATGCCAGAGTGGAATATGACATGAAGGATTATACGGGTTTGGTGGGTTTTAGGGGATTGTAGGGAATGTGCCATGCGGTATACTCGTGTTTATCTAAGTATATGTAATTACTGATAATTACTTTTAAGCGAGTAGAGATCTAGGGGGTTCTAGGGGAAGTTGAGTTCCATATCAAGATACACAATATCCTAGCTATACGGCTGTGCTAGAGCCCGATGGGAGGCAAGCATATAGGGTTAACATGTACTCGTGCTATAAGTCTGTGTCAGAATTATTAATGTGAGGTAGGGTTCCAGGGTTCCAGGGTTTAATGGTTTTTATGGTTCCGCGTCAAATGCTAAACACTCCCACTAGTTGCTTATATCGAAACAGTATCTACGATACGCATAGTATATCCATTACTAGCACTGTTGACGCGCGCTCTCTGAAAGCACAAATGGTAGTAGTAGAGTAGTAGTAGTAGTAGAGTATATATATATATATATATATACCTACATATATATATATATATATATATATATATATATAAATATATAAATATATAAATATATAAATATATAAATATATAAATATATAAATATACACACGTTCGGATATACAAAATCTACACAGTCATGTGCAAACGATACAGCAGGTGATGTGAGGAACACTGACTGTATGCGCCGATGATGGGTATTGCTGTGATGTAAAGACTCGTTAAAAGTTACACCAAATTTACTGATCTACCCTTTGAAGTGCTAGTACTGAAGGTACCCGTTTTGCCTGTAGACGTTTGTAAGCATTCGTATATCGAGTGCTTCTCAAACGGGTGTGTTATCTGTATTTAAGTTCGGATTTGAAAGATGTAGAAAACTCTGTGTTAGTGTAAAGGCTTGTTTATGCGGCGTGCTTGCTGTTTGTCAAGTGAGTGTTTGAATGTACGGTTTATCGTGCTATGTCATACCGAGCCATAGATGATTATGTACACTTACTGGTCATTTGCCCTGTTTTTTTTTGAAGGATACACATTTTAATTGGACTATAGATAAGTATAAACATGAAGAGCATACACACATACTACTATGTTGGGTATATGTACTTATAGATGCTTAGCTACGAACGCGCACATACTGCTTCTCGACCGAAAGGAAACCAGTCTGGAGCTCACACTCGTTTGCAGTCTGTTGAGAATCATTCTGTGTTGAGTCGGTTGAATGCGCCAATCGTTGGATGGCAGCCGAGTACCCGTCAATAATACCTACGCATGACAAGAAGGTGTACGCATTAATTGTACCTACGCATGATAAGGTGCACCCATTGATTGTACCTACGCATGATAAGGTGTACCCATTAGTTGTACCTACACTCAGTAAGAGGGCGTCCCCAATAGTTATACGCACGCACATTAACAAGATATACCCATTAATTGTACATACGCACAAAAACAAGGTGTACCCATTATTTGTACTTACGCACAAGAACAGTATATACCCATCAATTATACCTACGCACAATAATAGAGTGTACCCGTCAATTATACCTACACACAAAAACAAGATATATCCACTGACTATACATACGCACAAAACAAGATATACCTACTAAAATACCTACACATAATAGTGAGGTATACCCATTGAATTGTAACTTCACACAATAGCAGGGAGTAGCCATTAATTATACCTACGCACAATAGCAAGGGGTACCCATTAGTTCCACCTACGCGCACTAGCAAGATATACCTATTAGTTTATGACAACACAATATGCACAATATAGGTGCCCCCATGACTATACCTACACACAGTATCCAGATGAGCCCATTAATTGAACCTAGGCCTATTCATCTAGGTGTACCCATCAATTATACATACACACAGCAGCTAGATGAGCCCATCAATTGCACCTGCGCATATTCATCTAGGTGTACCCATTATTTATACATACACACAGTAGCAAGGCGAGTTTATCAATGGTACCTACGCATATTCATCTAGGTGTACCCATCATTTATACATACGCACAGTAGCTAGATGAGTCCATAAATTGTACCTACGCATATTCATACAGGTGTACTTCAATGGCTAAACTCTAAAACCCTACACACACAAACGTAGACACATCAACTATAAATACAGACGAGAGCACACAAGCCCAGCCAGCAACACGCACGCACGCACACAAAAACATACAGAAATACAGAGACAGAGATAGACATATACATATAGCACAGCCGGCCACACATGCACGCACACACACGCATACACATATATACACTAATAGAAGCACACTTGAGTGGATACAAGCACAGTCAGACGCACAGATCCATACCATCCATGACAGCAACCACGAACTCCTTGTGGTCGATATCCAGCATCTTGATCAGCGGAACCATGGCGTGCATGCGCATAGTAATACCTCTAGCCGGCGAGAGCGTGTCGGATAAATTGTCCGATGAAGTAGCGCCGGGGCACTCCGCGGCGGGTGAGCAGACGTCGTTGCGTAGGACACTCATGACTTCCTTCTTGCGCATGAGCTGATGGAAGGGCAGACGCTGACGAGCGTGTTGGTCTCGCATGCGGTGTAGGTAGCTGTGTGCAGACAGTTGGGTGTAGTTTGCAGAGGGGGTTGAATTGTAGCCATGGAAGCTTGTACACCCGTGGTCAAACAAAGATAAACTAGAAATGCTGGTCTCACAGGCGGTATAGGTAGCTGTTTGCAGACGGTTGGGTATAGTTTGCAGAAGAGGTTGTATTGCATTATGCTACAAGAATGGAAACAACCAGCACAATAGCACGCGCTGTAAGTCTATGCGAGTGCGTATGCAAACGATAGAATCAGTCTTGTGACACGCATTGCAGGTGGCCGTGTACAGAAGGTTGGGTGCAGTTTGCCGATGGGGATAGTTGGGAGCGCGTGTGGAAAAATTTAAGTGACTTGGTAGAGGAGAGCCGCACTATACACACTGCATGCATAAATTGAAGCAAGGTGATCATTGTGATACTTAATAAAAGCTTATACATCCGGTTGCAAACATAAACAAACTAGAAATACTGGTCTCAAATACCGGACTTCTGCTGAGGATATCACAACCATGTAGTTTTGCCGTATGCTCAATTCAGCATCTTACTACCATTGCCTGTGTGCCTTTATCATAGTATGGATTTTAGCACGGTCCCCGTTTGACCAACAATTGACATAGAGCTATGGTATGTAATCAATCACACAGAAGTTCGATTTCCCCTTCACATGTGTGCATAATTGGCACATCTCACAGGAAGTTTCAACTACACAGATTTGGTATATCTAACAGAAAAAGAGAAGCGATTCGCACAGTTTCACATAAACACGAAAATAGTCGGCTTACCCAGAGATTAGTTGCTTGCCCACAGGGCCCTGTGTATGTAGGTTCTGTACCAATTTGTCCTGTTTCCAATATTGATATCAGTGGAAGTGATCATTAAAACTAGTGGAAGTGTGAGAGTGTACTTGCAAATTTGTCCTATTCCATCAAAAAAGACATCCATATGTCCAGTCTGTCTATTGATATATGTTACCGTGATGCGATATAACAATCACACATTCTGCCCCGTGTCTCTGGGTTCTATACCGATTTGCAATTTCAACTATAATATAAATAAAATTGTGTAAGCGTAGAAGCCATGATATGGCGAGCTGACACCATTATACAAGATATTGTGCTCAGACAGCACTTCGGAGTATCTGGTATGTGGTATATATGAGATATATGGGACATATGAGATATATGGAATATACATATACATATGCATATAAATACACACACACACACACACATATATATGTATATATATATATTTATATACACACATACATATATAAGATATATATTTGTATATATATATATAAATAGATATATATACACACACACACACACACATATATATATATATACACATATATATATATGTTTGTGTGTGTGTATTTACGTTTACATGCATTGTATATATGTTTGTACGATGCTATGTATGTATATGTATACGTTATGTATATATATATATATGCAGGGAATGAAGCCTCGTGTGGTACACACCCGCATCATAGTTGTAAGCGCATCTCATACTTTGATTGTTGCAGATATGTTTTTGTTGAATGTTGATATCCAGACATATGCGATGCTATTGATATAATACAGTCTTACAAATCACGATCGCACAAGGTAGACAGTCTCCACAGATATGCATCTATTTCATGTTAATACTTTGACAAATACCAGCCAACTGGTATGAAACAGTCTTTTGAAGAATTAGTGTCGCTAGCACAAGTTACTCAGTGTCCACAGATACGGATCTGTTGCATGCTAATACTTGGGACATGTACCGTGCTTTTGGTATGATACGGTCCTATGAAGTATAAATCACTCTCGCACAAGTTACAAAGTTTCTGCAGCCGACCAAAATTCACCGGGGGATTGGGAATATCGCAGCACTCAGTCTGTGACCAGAATTCTTCCGTAGCATAATTGTACTTAAATAAATACTAAGGCAATGAGACTATATAACACATGATCGTCCTGGGATTCCTTGTTGAAAGATACCTGTAATACACTATAGCGGCTCGTGAAATAGCGGGCCTGCATTGTACCAGTGACAGAATCTGTTGCATATAAAGGAAGTTATACTAACGAATGACGCCAAAGTTCAAACTCATCACAAGATACACAGGCCCTGTGCATTACCCACCAATACCTGGTGATCAAATGCATCGCACTCCGAC